AGTAAAACTCGACTTTTGCTTTTCAGAAGTGGAGTTTTTATCGAGTTTAAAAGTGGAGTTTTCACCGGCTATAGTTGTGCCATACAAAGATGAAAACTCGACTTTTCACCAAGATGACATCTGGATGATTTCTGGTTGATTTCTGGATGATTTCTGGATGATTTCTGGATGATATTTGGGTAATATCTGGATGATGAGAAGTGGAGTTTTAATCGAGTTTAAAAGTGGAGTTTTCACCGAGTTGGGGGTTGTAGAAAATGATATCTGGACGATATGTGGGTGATATCTGGATGATATGTGGATGATATCTGGATGATATGTGGGTGATATCTGGATGATATGTGGATGATATTTGGGTGACATCTGGATGATATATGGATGATATCTGGATGATATGTGGCTGATATCTGGATGATATGTGGGATGATAGAAATTTTGAAACATTGTATTTACCAAAAATCATTAAATATTATTAAATTCTTACTAAAAAATGCATTTTTGTGCTGTTGAGGTTTCGTGAATATATAGACACAGAAATTGGGATTAAAAAAGTTGTGTTTAAGTCGAGTTTATGCACCCATATTTCACCCAGTTGATGACTGGGAAAATATTGTATTCAAAAGTCGAGTTTAAGTCAAGTTTATGCACTGAGATTTCACCCAGTTGATAAGTGGATTTCAACAGTGGAGTTTAAGTTAAAGTAGAGTTTTAAAGTGGATATTTAAACTCCCAGTTTTCACCCTGATTGGTTAAAACTCGGAATCAAAAAGTCGAGTTTAAGTTGAGTTTATGCACCCAGATTTCATCCAGTTGATGACTGGGAAAATATGTGGTTCAAAAAGTAGAGTTTGAGTTGAGTTTACTTATCCAGATTTCACCCAGTTGATAAGTGGATTTCAACAGTGGAGTTTAAGTAGAGTTAAAGTGGAGTTTTAAAGTGGATATTTGAACTCCTAGTTTTCATCCTGACTTGGTAAAAACTGAGATTCAAAAAGTCGAGTTTAAGTCGAGTTTATGCACCCAGATTTCACCCAGTTGTTAACTGGGAAAATAATGGATTCAAAAAGTCGAGTTTAAGTCGAGTTTATTCACCCAGATTTCACCCAGTTGATAAGTGGATTTCAACAGTGAAGCTTAAGTCAAGTTAAAGTGGAGTTTTAAAGTGGATATTTGAACTCCTAGTATTCACCCTGACTTGGTAAAAACTGGGGTTAAAAAGTCGAGTTTAAGTCGAGTTTATGCACCCAGATTTCACCCAGTTGATGACTGGGAAAATATTGGATTCAAAAAGTCGAGTTTAAGTCGAGTTTATTCACCCAGATTTCACCCAGTTGACAAGTGGATTTCAAACGTGGAGTTTAAGTCGAGTTAAAGTGGAGTTTTAAAGTGGATATTTGAACTCCCAGTTTTCACCCTGACTCAGTGAAAACTGGGATTCAAAAAGTCGAGTTTAAGCCGAGTTTATGCACCCAGATTTCCCCCAGTTGGTGAATGGAATTCAAAAGTGGAGTTAAAGTTGAGTTTAAGTGGAGTTTTGAAGTGGAGTTTAGAACAACTAGTTGACATCTAGTTGTATCATCCACTTCTGTTTTCTGGGNCCCCTTATACTGGCAAACAAGGACAGAGGGACTTTGATTAGAAACACTATTATGAATTATGGACAGATGAAATATTTAAACTACTTCCAGGAACTACTCTCTACTTAGGACTATAAGGACAAATATGACTAGTGGATGAATTACAAAAAAAATGCAGTAGACTGTAATAGGGGACATAATTTGTTTTAAAGTTGCCATTTTACACTGTTTTATTCATTTTGCTTTCAAACTCGTATTTTAGTAAAAATCAGTGATATTAAACTTAAATAACAGTTTTAAACCCTGGGTGTTTATCTTTATGAAGCGTATTAATTGGTGTAAAATAACACGAGCAAAATTACATATTTTTAAACCATTTAGAAAACAGGCATTGGTATTATAACATTACAATTCAAACATGATATAATCGGACAATTTTCAACTATTTCTCAACCCCCCAATAAAAATACCAATTGGCTGATCCAAGCTTTGTTGGGTGGCCACTTGCCATCACATTGAAACACAACATTATTAAATATGTGCCTGTCTTTCGCATCACTCTAATTTTAACATATATAAAGTTTTAAAGCAATGTTGATACTTGTAATTCGAAAAAACCTTATTAACTAAAACAAAAATTCGTCTTCATTGTAATAATATAATCGCCTACCACTGTATGGAAATCTGCTAAGTATTTAAGATATCAAAGATATCTTTTTAACATACTACCACGAATTTTAAGTGTTTTCTAAATATTTGCATTCATTTAAACTGCCTTGTAAAATGGTAAAAAATTTAGTATGTTTAAAAGTTAAAGTTCCTTTTTCCTTGGTAATGGGAATGAAAAAATCTTTTCTAGTTTATTTCATAATAATTAGACAATTTTTATATTCTAATCATTTTATTTCTGGAACCCCATGTCGAAGATATGTTAGATATGTCTAATAACATTTAATTTTGAAATATCAAAATCTTACACCGTTGTCCGTCAGGTTGAAAGGAATAGGAATTATAAAATTAGATTTTTTGGCAAAAACAAAACATCTTTCCTAAAACTGGGATTTGAGCGTGCTGAAGTTAACCAGTAATGACCAGAAAACTCTGGAATAGGAAGTTGGCCTTTAGACTCAAGTTATGACATTAAACTTAATAACTGAATTAATAAGTTATTTTTAAGTTATTTCCTTTGGAAAAACTTAAAATTCACTTATATATTGTTTTAATTTCGTCTTCCAATTCTACAGTTTCTGATTATTACTGTAGGTTTAGGATATAGAGTTCAGCAATCAGCTTTAACCGATATGCCAACTAAATGTCTTGCATTTATTTTTAATTGACAGCCAAACTTAAAACAAAAAAATATATCTATTAAGCATAGTCAGGCTTAAAATTTGCAAATTTGCATAATTTTTAATATTTATTGCAATTTCAAGTTCATAAGCCAAAAAATTGCAGTTTCTAAAAGTAGAGCACAAGAGCTTTCCAGTGATGTAGCATTTGTCATAGTTCGACATCAAACATAGATTTAGAGGGGTGGGGGGTCAAATTGCCCGCCCCCCCCCCACATCGTATCCTGGTTTTCAAGTATCCCATTAGGAATATTTTTAAGTGCTTTGTTTTAATAATTTAAACATATTAAATTAAATAATTCATATACTAAATTATATTAAACATAAACATATTATAAGTAAAAAAAATTGCAAATTAACAATATTTGAAAAAATTACAGTTATTTAGAAGTGATCTATTTAATAATGTCTGAGAAATTGACAGTTATTTAAAAATTATTTAATTAACAATGTCTGAGAGATTTACAGTTATTTAAAAATGATCAAATTTACAATGTTTCAGAGATTTCAAGTTATTTAAAAATGATCCAATAGACAATGTTTGAGAAATTTACAGTTACTTAAAAATGATTAATTAAAATGTCTGATCAATTCACAGTTATTTAAAAAATATCAAATTTAAGAGATTGAACTTTATTTAAAAATGATCAACTTTACTATTTCTCAACATTCATATAGGCAAATTCAATGGTAATGAACCATTACTCATATTGAACTCTCCAAGTCTCGTTGTCTCGACCTTTTACTTTAAGACCTTTCTTCTTTGCATTTACCAGAAACTCTTTAAATTTGTTATAATTACAATTGAAATCCATGAAAAAATTGAACAAAAAGGCAGACTCCAAGTTATGCATCTTATCTTTACCAACCCTGAAATAAAATAAGTACATATACTGTGTCCAAAAATAGGACTTTAGGTAAAGCTTCTTTTATAACAATATCACTTTAGCACTTTCACATTGTAAGTTTTAATTTTATATAAAAGTTAATAAAAAATTAGTCATACACAAATTCAATTTTTAGTATACATTATTTGACAAATATACTGAGTTAATGGTCTGCAATTATAATTTAGATCACTTCCTCACATAAAAGCATGAAATATTGAATATTAATCAATGTTAAGAGAGATAACAATAACTAACAATAAATACTACTCTAAAAATTAACACTGAAACTATATTGCAGTATCCTGCAATAACAATTAGCATGATGAAACGCATTCTTTAAAAAAAGATCAATAATAATATCAGGAAATAAAGTAATAGTTTATCATTTATTATAATAATATGATAGTAATAATGTTAGAGTACAAAGTTCAATCCATAATATATTTTTTATATTGTTTTAACTTTTAAATACAAGAATAAATAATTTATATGTTGAAGGATTCACAATTTATTATTTATTTAAAATTTAGTGATAAGATTTAAACATATGTCACATTCACATTTTCTTATTATAAAATTTATCTTGTGCACAGCATGCATTTGTTAAAAACATTCTTAGAACATTAGATAAAAAAACATAAATAGCTTGAAACCCTAATTTCCATGTAAGCTGATATACTAACAGATTAAACAAAAATATATTTGTTTTGTAAATTTTCCATTTTGGTTAACAAGTTAACATTTGAATCCTTGCATCTTCCTTTAAATAATTGGATTTCCTAGATATATTTAGTATATTGGTAGGATTTAATTACCTTTTATTTTTTCTGTGGTTCTGGTGGCCTTCTTGACCTAAAGTCTTAACCTCTTTTCCCTGCTTTGCTAAATCCACATTGTGATATTTGCAGGCCATTTTCTTGTGTGTAGACTTACCCTATATTACAAACATTTAACAGTCTTAAAGATTTAGATAATGGAAATTTTAAATACAAAGGGTTATTTTTTTCAGTCAAATGTATAATTATTTTGTTCGAATTAAAAATGATTAGTTTTCTATGGAAAATGCGTTTTAAATACATTTGTTTTCCGTGGGCCAAAATTGTGGCAACAACTAAAATTAGTTAATGTGTGCCAGTATACATTCCATACTGTGAAATAAGCTTTAATTATGAAGAAAATTAATATTAAATGCTTGCCTTGAATTGAAGCCTATGGCCCATTATAAATGATCTTGTGTTTATTTTGACATCCTGTTTCTCAAGAGTTCTGCATTCTGGAATATCCAGTCCTGACTGTGGCTCAATTTTCTCACTGGGTATTTGAAAGCAGCCAAGTCTCTCTGGCCCTAACATTTCTCGTGCTTTTTCAGACCTTAGAACCTCATGTCTGCATCATTGCATACAGTCACAAACTTTTTAAGTTATAATGGTTTTAAAGTTATTTTAGCCATTATTATCATTTTTAAAAGTATATCTGGTCTGATATTGTTCTAAGTAGTATGCACCTTACAAAGACAACATAACAAAAGAACAATATTCAGGGTGGCCAAAACTTTTTTGAACCCATCCGTACAAAAATCCGTACATTTTCAGAAGAAATCCGTACAATCCGTACAATTTTCGAAAAACAATCCGTACAATCCGTACAATTTTTTTTATAAAAATCAGTACAATCCGTACATTTTTTAAAACCAATCCGTACATTTTTTTAAATATCCGTACATTTTTTTAAAAAATCTGTACAATTTGCACAATTTTCGAAAAAAATCCCATTTTTATAAAGAACACATTAAAATTCAATTTTTCATTCATTGTCTTTTGTGTTCAGTTCATGTAAGAGGGTTAAAACTTCTTCAGCACGAATCAATCTGTAAAAAATTGGCTTCATACATATATACAAACTAAATACTAGATACAGGATACAGGATACTGGATACTGGATACTGGGTACATGATACTGGGTACATAACTCTGGGTACATGATACTGGGTACATGATACTGGGTACATGATACTGGGTACATGATACTGGGTACATGATACTGTGTACAGGATATTGGGTACAGGATACTGGGTACAGGATATTGGGTACAGGAAACTGGGTACAGGAAACTGGGTACAGGATACTGGGAATAGGATACTGGGTACAGGATACTGTGTACAGGATACTGGAACATCTTCTTGAATAAGCAATCAAAAAAGTACTTATGGAACATATTCTCAAATAAACATTCTTGGACATATCTCGAAAACTATGAATGAATTTTGATTGTCAATTGAAACATTAATCAATCTAATATTATTTAGAATGCAGAAAATAAGTTAAACTAACTTCATTTTGACGAGAATTTTTTTTATTTTCATGAAAAATTTGCTGAAATGAGTGAAAATTTAAAAAAAAATGTGTATTTTCCAGGATAAAAATCCGTACAATCCGTACAATTTGAAAACAAATCCGTACAATCCGTACAATTTTAGGGTTAAAACAAAATCAATCCGTACAATCCGTACAATCCGTACATTTTGGCCACCCTGAATATTGGACAGTTTTTAAACAATTTTAACATTCTAAACTAATATGGTTTTAAACAACTGTTAACATCTAGAAGTAAGCACATTGTATCAATAACTGACAACAAATTTAAAACAAATCTTAAAACTTTTTCTAAACCATATTGCAACATTTTTAAATACTTGTAATACTTTTTTTGCCACTTCATTATAAATCTAAATTCAGGTGACAAAAAAATTTGTTAAAATGATTTTACCTAGTAAATAAATATGATAATTTCTATTTTAAATTATGTATAGTAATGAAAACAAACAAAAATTTACTTGTAATTTGGCGTTTTTAAATATAAAAATTTGTAATTTGCCGCTTTTTAAAAAATGAAAAAAAATTTTAAATTTTAAACAACAAATAATGCAGTTAACGTTGTGACTGAATGCCTAGCTAGAGTACACGCATCATCATGAATATGGAGTGCTGAAAAAAGAAAACCTATCAGTTTTACAGAGAAATTGTATTAAAATATTAAATATGAGATAAACAATAAAGAGAGGAATTTAATGAGAAGTAATAAAACCCCATGATATATGAAATGTCAAGAAAATATTGTCAATTAATCACTTCAATAAGGATTTTTTCTTCTTTACAAATGTATACAACTCACCTGGCAAACGATGTAGGCTCAGTCTCAGGTCTGCATGATCAGCTACACTTTCCTAAATTTACACATCTGAGATATTATTTATTTTTAAATGTATTAACACAATTACATTGTTAACGCACAGTATTACTACAATGTTTAGGATCCACATTTAGATCCGAAACATTGTTTAGGATCTAGATATGGATCCAAGGATCTGGATCTAAGGGACAAAACATCATCCAAAACTGTAATAAAAGAAAAATAAATATTTGAAAAATCGCATTGTTATTAAAAATTGGTTAATCTTAAAAAAATGGTTATGGCCTAGATCTGGATCGCCACCCTTTTTTCAGTGTTTTTCCGGCATCAAATTTAAAGGGATTCTAGGCTCTGCCTACAAAGGGTGAAACTTTGCAGAATATATATATAAATAGTCTTCAGAGTAAAAGCTTTGCACCCTTTAATATATCACTTAATATTATATAAAGAAGGTTGAAAAATAAACAAACAACTGTACAGCAGCAGGCAAACATTAATGTAAGAGTAGTAATCTGTTTTCATCAATAACAATTACAATTTTAATGATTATATTTGTACCAATCGTTTAAATATGGATCTATTTGAAAATTTAAGTTTACAAATCAGACATTACAGAAAATCACAAAACATAATGGAACCTTACTTTGAACACCATCATTTTGCTTCCATATTTATAATTATGCTCACAATACAGGTCCGCCCATCCACCAGTGAATCCCTTCCGTAGTATATACTGAATTATAAAGCTTGATATCATCGTTCTTTTAACATTTTAAAATTTTTTTTTTTAAATACAATTTTTATATAGAAATATTTTAAAATTATAAATAATAAACAAATACGATTTTTATGTAATTTACTAGAGCCATTAAAATGTATTACCTTATGGCATTGTGAATCACCAGCTATAATTTTGCTGTATGCATTTAATAAACCCTGCTTCATAGCAGAAATACTGGTTATCTTCTTGGAAAAGCATTTTGCAAACACTTCTTTCAGTTTAACTTCATTAACCGTCCCCTTGCTCAATTCTTCAACTGACATTTCCCCAGAAATGAAAACATCTGCCACTAAGTGTAAATCCACATCCAATTCCTATATAAACATTACTATAAATATTTGCTTTGTAACCCTTTATTAAATGAATGTAAAAGCACTTGTACTAATCAGGATAGTATTCCCTCCAAACCTTTGACAGTCTCTAAATATCTTCCCCTTTTTCCTTGTTTCCTTAATTGTACTATAATCTATTTTATTCCTACAAGTCTTATTTTTCGTCATTATTCCCCCTTAATTTATAATTTACCTTCTTTTCTATTAACTTTCCTTTATCGCCCCCCCCCCCTTCCCTTCCCATTTCCTTTTTCATTTCTCTTCACTTATTCTATCATATAAATATTTTTATCTTTTAATACATGTAAATTAAGTATAAAAAATACCTTTTCATAATACGAATTTGCAAACTTCTTCCTTTCTGTATTAATATTGTACTTCTTTACAACAGGCGCCATTATTGATGGTAATGTGAAAGCTTTCTTCTTAGAGAATTCCATCTTATCATAGGTTATATAAATTTTCAGCTTTTACAAAATTTACCAAGAAATAAGGTGTTTGAAGGTTTTTTACAAGATTTAACACAAATTTTAATAAAAATAAAAATCTTAAAATTTAATATTACACACCTCAGTACTGGGCTTGGGAGGGAGGGTGAAAATAATTTCTTATTTATATATATAATCATGCCTTCTTTGTGTTGTTTTGTGTGAAGAGTTCAGTTGCTGCTAGATTCTTGAATTGGAATAAATCTTCTATATCTTCTTCTTCCTCATTGTATATCAAATTTGTTGGAATTCTAGAAGCATCTTTTACATTTCCATCTCCACAAGTAATATGTGGAAAACGTCCACAGATTGGACATGTTACAAAATTCAGACAATCCTGGGTAATTACCCCAGCACCTACAGATAACACTGTTCTATACAGATCCTGAGCCATGTTTGGTGCTGATAGTATCTCAATATCAGATTTATCTGCCAACTGATCAATCCACTCAGTTAGTACTTTAATAACTGAACTCGAATTACGCAAGTAATTTAAGACAAGTAAGTACACATTAAAAGTAAAAATGAGTCTTGTGTGACAGTTGATCATCTTGTACAATGATAGATCAGGATAAACGATAATGGAACATTCTTCGCAGAATTTCACGTTGAACTTCACTTTAACAATGGTACTCATGGTGATGAAATTCGCACTTGCATTATTCTTATTGTATTTGTAATTTACCAATCCTGTGCCGGTGCAATTGGGACACTTGATACAAGAGTTATATTGTTCTGTAAGGAATTCTTGAATATCCATTGGTTCATCATTTCGCTGGGATTTCAGTTTCTTCTCTGTTCAAATGGGTTGGGTATGCAGAAATAATTTGGTTAAACTGAATTTTAGATGAATTAATGTAATCAATTGGATTACTGCAAACTTCCTTCATAGTCTCAAAGTGTTGTGAATTGCCTTCTTGTGATTGCTCACTGTTTACATCACCTATTGTAGCAAATAGTGCAAGCGTATGGGGACATGTAGCACCTGTTTTCCTCGGGCCTGAATTTATACTACTGCTGTTTTGACAAACATAGCACTTCACCTTGGAACAATGGACGAACCCAAAATGCTCTGTATTATCTTTGAGACAATAAATTGATTCTTCTCCAAGAATATATACTTCACTGGCTTGTTTCGTGACCCAATCTTGATCTTTTTGGTTCATGGATTCACAGTTTGTTGGAGTACATTGAACATTCAAACTTTGTTCCTCTTGAGCTGCTTTTACATGACGACAATTTAATTCTGTTGTACAGAAACTACATTCCCTTGTTTTTAAGTTTACAAATGTTCTGACCGCGTTTCCTGCAATATTTCTTCTTACGGAGCATATATTATCATCAAGTTTATATACTCCTAGAGATTTGTTTACAGCTATGATTTCATTCAATCTCCCAGTGCATTGGTATTCACCACAAAACATGGACCTATTTTTAGTTTTTTTATGACATTTTGAACACTGATACCATATTTGAGTAGCTCTAGATTTTCTTGGAGAATACTTCTTTCCAGGACTTGTAATCTTTGCTACTTTTACTGGTGTTTTTGGTATTTCTTTAGATTTCCTCTTTAGCTTGTTCATTTCTGAATTTTCCATTTTTGGGTTTATTTATCTGGAATTAAATCACAAACAATAAACACTTTGAAGTTATTAAACTTAAATTCTGAATATTTAGATAAAACAAATTCTTACAATAAAGAAATGTGAGAAAAAATAAGAATTCTTTATCTATACAGAGGGTTAAATCAGTTATCAGATTTTAATGTAACTTAAATCTTAAAAAAGGTTGTATTATTGCCAAAATGAAATTTATTAGATATTAGGAGAAATAACCTACCCTCTAGAAGATTTTACGTTTGTTTTTTCTTAGAGTAAATACCAATTTTGACCTTTCATTGACACTTTGCTCAAGAGGGTTGGAGAACAAAAATGCCATCGTATTGGCTGAACCTTTCAGAATACTGTTCGATCAACACAAAAGACTGTTCAATAAAAGAACTTTAAGCAATAACACATTTTAATACGAATTAATTTCAAAAATAAGTGAGGTGTAATTGGTTGCATCGTTCTATGTACCCTATTTTATTTTCATTGTAAATTTATCATGAAACTAATAATTTTCTACCAAGTACACATGTCACTGGCACTATTTGATAGACACTCTGTTGACAAACACAAAGTTTGATAGTTAAAATAAATTTAAAGTCAATATATTTTATTTTAATAATAACAGGACTATGAAACCTTTGCCACCATGAATGCTTTCATTTATGAAATTTATTCTTTCAAAAACAAATTAGCAATAAGAGTATTTCTATTGAACAACCTTTGGATTTTGGATTCTGCGGGGTGTTTACAGGGTTCTGCATGGTACCTGGGTTCAAACATGACCATGCTTGGCTCATGGCATTTGGCTCATTTAAATATTTACTTAAAATTAAAAGAATGAAAATGAAAATTTGACAATAATACAACCTTGACTTGTTTCTGGTAACAGCTGGACTTATTTTAAAAGTTTTTTCGTTTTCATCAGTCTTCTTGTTGTCTTTCTTATTTTTCAGAGTATCCTTTCCTTCTTTCCCTTGCTTCTTCTTTTTTCTCTCTTTCACCTATAACAGCACACAATTATTTTATATATAGAACTGTTTCTTTATACATGCATTATCATGGATCCGACATCCATTTCTTTGATCCAGTGTCGTGTATTATTTTTATATCTCTAGTATTTGTCATCCAGTAGCAATCATCCTATATCCTTGATCCATTAATTTAATCTGGTATCCTATATAACATAGATGTGCTAAATGTCACTAATCATCTGTGTCGAATATACCCAATAACATTGCTAATATCTTACTGTCTCTAGTATTCCATACATGATATTACTGTCGTGTCATCATTAAACATGATGTAAAGAAAACCAAGATTCGTTTATTTTTCTAAATACCTTCAAATCAAAACTGGGGACAATTCAAAATGTAAAATATGATGTTGAATCTGATTCTGTTTTATATTTTCATTTTAAAACATTTTAAAAAACATGGAAATTAATGTTAAAGTTGTATTTCATGCTTTTAGACTTTTGAGGGCTTTCAGATAAATCACAAAATAATGAAGACTCCGTAAATAAGGAGTTCTCATGTCTTAACTATTTCTCATATTTTGTATACGGAACCTCCTCATATAGCCCAAAAATAAAAGTTTTCAAATTACGTCATGAATGGTATACACATGTTCAACAAAAAATGTATTATTCAAGTATTCCAAGGAAACTCAAGAATCTTTAAATTCAAAATAAGTTATGTGCATCAATTAAAAAAAATATAAATATAAAACCAAAATAACATTAATTATGAGCATTACTCTTTTGTTCAATATTTTTATTTTCCTACAGGGGTGTATATTTTTTATTTTGTCCCCCAGCACCCACCCCGTGAAAAAATGAAAAAATATGAGGTGACATACTATTTCAGATCTATCTTTAGAAATTCCTAGGTACATGATCATAATATTCCCAGGTACATAATCTGAGAATTCCCAGGTACATGATCATAATATTCACAGGTACATAATTTGACAATTCCTAGGTATATGATCATAAAATTCCGAGGTATGTGATCAGACAATTCCCAGGTACATGATTTGACAATTCCTAAGTACATGATCAAACAATTCTCGGGTACATGATCAGAATATTCCCAGATACATTATCTGACAAAGTCTCATGTATATGATCATACAATTCCCAGGTATATGATCATAATATTCCCAGGTACATAATCTGACAATTCCAAGTTATATTTTTAAGACTCTTTCTTATAAAGCTCATGTTTTGTAAAAAGCGTCAAAGTATATCACTTTGCTTTCATGTGTTTACCCACGCTTGGTCGTGAATTGCAATGTTTAGCCATAATTACCTATAAAAATGGCCCACTCAACTTTGAATCTAAAAACCAACTTAAAAACATTCACGTTGTTCTACAGACTTCCCAATCAAATATGAGACAAATCAGTTAAGGGATTCCAGTTTTTAAATTTTTACCTTAGGTTTATTCTGAGGAATTTTCTTAGAATATTTCTTCTTCTTCTCAATGAAACAGTCATCCTAATTGTAAAAAAATGGTTACCTTTAAGTTTATAAATTTATAACCATCTTAAATATATTAAATATGATTTTAGTTTAAACTTCGGTAGACGAATTCCGTTAATTTAGGAACCATGCATTACCTCACTATAGTCGCAACAGAAAGAAATAAAATTAGTAGCGTATAATATCAACAAAAATCATTTGCATTGCTAAAGTGCTAGGTTCTTTTAGGAAAACGTATGTTATTTATAAGTGTCCAATTTGTTCAAAAAGAAAGAGTTTAAATTTATGTGTAAAAATTGTGAAATTTCATATATCCTTTCATAAACCAAAAAATTAATGACAATTTAAAATTTTCTCTTCATTATTCTTTAAATGTTTGTTAAACAGATTTTATTTTTAAATCAAAAAGAATGTCTTACATTGTCTGAAGCTGGAGATGTATCTGATTTCCCTAGATCATAATCTTTCGCACGATTTCTCTTCAACTAAATTGTTTCAATATCAAAATCTTTTTTCAAAACACTTAAATTTTACGGCTGGGATTGCCAATACAATACACAGATCAGGATCAAAGAGACAAAATATTCACCCAAAAAATGACAAAAATATTTTAGTTTTAAACTAAGACATTCCGAAAAATGCTTCTCGGCAGAATTTCTTCTGGGATTTTGGTTGCTTAACACTTCCACTTCCTGTACATCCTTGAATTCATCTCTTGATTGTTCGGCAGGTTGACCCATCAAAAATCTCAAAACAAAACTCTTCAGCATAGTTCTTTTATTTTCAGGGTTATTTTTTCCAGATTAAATCTTGAAATTTTTTGGATTATTACTAAAAATGGCCACCTGCATGATTTTATTCAAGCTTATTGAAATTATCATTTTAAGGCCTTAAACAATAAAAATAAATTATAAAAATAAGGTTTAATATGAATAAAAGATTTTTTATATTCAAATAAAAATAAATAATAAATGGCATTAGGTTTCCTTGTTTTGCAGTTTCAATTTTAGTATATGAAAATGTGGAAAAATGAGATTATCAAAGAATGCGTACTTGTTATTTTTTATCGAAACCCCTTAAAGGCTTACCGAATAAGGATGCAACTTCAGAGGAAATGGAGTTATATCAACCTTTTACTTATTTTGAACATTTTCTGTAGCTTATAACTTTTTTCTTATAATATCGTTTTTAAAGGTAATAGAAAAACATTAAGGATCAAATACAGAATAGAGCCTTGTCTTATCCTTTGTGTATAACCATGAATTAAAATTAGTAAAGAAAGTGTAAGTCCTACCACAACCTTATTTGAAGTGGTTTGGTTCTCCGCTTGATCGTCTCCCCCAGTTGAAAGAACTGAAATCTTCTCTGCAGTGGTTTGGTTCTTCATTCGATCGTCTCCATGAACTTGAATCTTCTGTGAAGTGGTTTTGTTCTTCATTCGATTGTCTTCCTGAACTTGAATCTTCTGTAAAGTGGTTTGGTTCTCCATTCTATCGTCACCCTGAACTTGAATCTTCTGTGAAGTGGTTTGGTTCTCCATTTGATTGTCTCCATGAACTTGAATCTTCTGTGAAGTGGTTTGGTTATTCATTTGATTGTCTCCATGAACTTGAATCTTCTGTGAAGTGCTTTGGTTATTCATTCGATTGTCTTCCTGAACTTGAATTTTCTGTGAATTGGTTTGGTTGTTCTTCATTCGATCGTCTTCCTGAACTTGCATCTTCTGTGAAGTGGTTTGGTTCTCCATTCGATCGTCTTCCTGAACTTGTATCTTCTGTGAAGTGGTTTGGTTCTCCATTCGATCGTCTTTCTGAACTTGAATCTTCTGTGAAGTAGTTTCGTTATTCATTCGATTGTCTCCCTGAACTTGAATTTTCTGTGAACTGGTTTGGTTGTTCTTCTTTAGATCGTCTTCCTCAACTTGCATCTTCTGTGAACTGGTTTGGTTCTCAATTCGATCGTCTGCCTGAACTTGAATTTTCTGTGAAGTGGTATGATTCTCCATTCGATCATCTTCCTGAACTTGTATCTTCTGTGAAGTGGTTTGGTTCTCCATTCGATCGTCTTTCTGAACTTGAATCTTTTTTGAAGTGGTTTGGTTCTCCATTCGATCGTCTTTCTGAACCTGAATCTTCTTTGAAGTGGTTTGGTTCTTTATTCCATCGTCTTTCTGAACTTGAATCTTTTTTGAAGTGGTTTGGTTCTTCATTCGATCGTGTCCATGAACTTGAATCTTCTGTGAAGTGGTTTTGTTCTTCATTCGATTGTCTTCCTGAACTTGAATCTTCTGTGAAGTGGTTTGGTTCTCCATTCTATCGTCACCCTGATCTTGAATCTTTTGTGAAGTGGTTTGGTTCTCCATTTGATTGTCTCCATGAACTTGAATCTTCTGTGAAGTGGTTTGGTTCTTCATTCGATTGTCTCCATGAACTTGAATATTCTGTGAAGTGGTTTGGCTCTTCTTTAGATCGTCTCCCTGAACTTGATTCTTCTGTGCAGTGGTTTGGTTCTTCTCTAGATCGTCTCCCTGAACTTGATTCTTCTGTGAAGTGGTTTGGTTCTTCTTGAGATCGTCTCCCTGAACTTGAATCTTCTGAGAAGTGGTTTCGTTCTTCTTTAGATCGTCTCCCTGAACTTGAATCTTCTGTGTGTTTTCGTCCTCCCTTGAATCGTCAATATAAGCTTCGTCAATTAGATTTTCAGCAGTAAAATCTTTGTCCTCTGTAATATCGTCCTCTGAAGGATCTCCATCTTCCCAGACCTGGCTTTCCTTTCTTCCAAACTCCACCTATTAAATAGCATTATTAAACAAAAAAGAAGCTTTTTCACAAAACAAAAATTGATTTTTTGTTATATTTTGAGTCACGGAAGTTCAAAGTAAGATTTTTATTCCACTGGAGTCAAAACATATCTGAATCCCTCCAGTGAAATAATAAACCCCTAGGAAGGATATCTGAATATCTACAGTGGAATTATAAACCCCCTGGAAAGATATTTGAATCCCTCCAGTGGAATTATAAACCCCTATGAAGGATATCTGATTCCTTCCAGTGTAATTATAATCCCCTAGGAAGGATATCTGAATCCCTCCAATGTTTATAATTTCTATTTTTTTTTCATTCACCAAACTTTACAAATTAAATCAAACCATGATTTCTTAGTTTAACTTAAAATAATATGAACAGGTAAAAATTGTAAAAAAAAAGTATAAATACTACCGGAATCTTATTTGAAGTGGTTTGGTTCTCCGTTTGATCGTCTCCGCCAGTTGAAAGAACTGAAATATTCTGAGTGTTTTTGTCCTCCCTTGAATCGTCAATTTCATCTTCGTTATTTCTATGTTCCTCGGTGTAATCACTGTGAATTCTAGGTTCGTCGAATAGATTTTCAGCAATAAAATCTTCGTCCTCTGTAATATCGTCCTCTGTAGGATCTCCATCCTGCCAGACCTGCCCTTCCTTTCTTCCAAACTCCACCTATTATAAAGCATTATTAAAAAAAAATTATTGTTTTTCACAAAACACTATAAAAATATCTGCTGACTACATGTTTAACTTGAAAAAAGTTAACCAAAATAAAAGTTGAAAAAAATTTTATTTTCAACATTTTTTATTTCTTTTATACAAATATCTATTAAAAATTTTATTCTATTTCTAAGTTTCATTAAACTCTACTTATAAATAACAGTTATCATTAAAATAATGTTTAAAAAAGTCTAAATGGAGCTTTCTATTAAAACCATTTTTATAATACAAATTAATTTTGTATAAAACAATTTAAAACATAAAACACATTGATGTTTTATTTATTCAGATCTGGTACAGATTTTCAGGAACCAAAATTTCACAGATTTTTTCTTATATTTTGTGTAACGGAAGTTCCAAAAGATATCTGAATCCCTCCATTTCATACCATAATTTTTTTTATTTCATTCACCATACTTGACAAATGAAATGAAACCATGATTTTTGATTTTAACTTAAAATAATATAAAGAGGTAAAATTTTTTTTGACTTGTCAAAACATAAATTACTTTCCCATTAAACTTGTTAGCTAATTTAAATTCTCTACATTTCCCCTGTTCCTTGTTTTGTTTTAATTTTGTTTCCTGACTTAATTTTTCATTTCCTCATCGAGGGGGGGGGGGGGAAGGTATTTATATACAACCTTGAGTTCAGAAATTAAACATCAATTTTTTGTTCATACCTTTCCAGCAGTGTTTAGGACCCTTAAGTACAACTTGTTAAAGTATTTCTTGTATTCATCCTCAATTCTTAGAACTTTGTTGTTACGTCTTGCATCTAAAAGTAATTACTTTTTAGTACAAATGTTTTATAACAACCTGAAAAATTTTATCTCAGGTTTGCAAAGATAAATAATTTCATTTGGTTATTTTTCTGATGGGCATAGAACGTTTGGGTGATCAAAAGTTTAGACCTTGTTTTGATTTATTCTGTTTGTAAATATTTTGAACTTACAGTATGCGTACTTTCAAGATATTTATGCTATGATAGATCTCTGTAAAATTACATAGATTGTGAGACATGATGTTGAATATTTGATAAAAATCACACACCCCTCTTCTTAACCAGTGCTTAGGATCCGGATCCGTTAGATCCGCAAGATTTTTGAAAAATATCAACCAAAAACTGCACAAAAAAAATTTATCTTAAAACCCAAATCTGGACTCTTGAAAAAAGAGAGAATATAAAAATTTCATAACTTCTGAATGGTTAAACAAATTTTAGCATAAAAATAAGCGAAAAAATAAGACAATAAATTTTAAATTTTGCATTGTTAAAAAGTATCAATAAATTTTTAAGAAACAACCTGGATCGGGATCCGGATCCTGATCCATTTTTTTTCCAATGTGTATCCAGGATCCGGATCCCCATCAAAATTAGTTGGATCCTAAACACTGCTTTTAACACTATAAAATCTTCGTTACAAAATCAAGTTTGGTAATCATTAAAAAAATGTCTCAGTGATAAAAAATATGTTTTTGTTCATGAATTCTAGACATAAAGAGAATCTTAAAATTTGTTATTTCATTATTCCATGTTTGCTAAACTTACATGCAGATATATTCGAAGTTCGCAACGTGGGTAATGCGTTGAAGGGTTCTCTGTATGTATTGAACAGGGCAAACTTTCTTACCTCAGCTTCTACAAACCTAAAGCATAAAATTAATTTCAAGGCGTAAAAACGTTTTTTAAGTACTCTGGTTACTTCATTGTATTAATTTTACATTAGAGCAGTCTCAAAGTATCTATAACATTTCCGCTCATTGTATATCCATAGCATAACAAATGCGGATTCAGTCATCAAAATCCATCCAAAGAATGAGAACCAAAAAATGGAAGCACAATTTTCTGCTCATAGAAATGATATCTAAACTGTTGAAAAATGAGAAATCATCAAGATGTTGCATAAAAATAAGTTAACAAAAAGCAAGAGAAATAATTCTTCTTCTGTAAAAAAATTAATTAAACCTTAAATAAATGTTCAGGACCTTAATCCGGATCCGTTTTCTGATGCCCCGAAAACTTTGAAGAAGTTTGCTGCGGGGGGGGGGGGCAGGGGGAGCAGAGCCCCCCTTGCAAAGAAAACTTTTGGATTTTAGTAGTATAATGGAGTGTTTGGGTGCCCTAAAAAGGTTAACTTTAATGTCCCGTCCCCCCTGAGAATATTTTAAAGGATGACTGATACTATTTTACATTTTTGTTAAATTTTGGTTTTTGGAAGATGCAAATGAAAAAAAAATATGTTTATTTCATTTTCCATTTTTCCATTCCCCTTTCCTTCCACTTTTTCCTTTTCTCTTTCCCCTTCTCTTTCTCCTTCCCTCTTCCCTTTACCCTTTCCTTTCCCCATTCCTTTCCCCTTCCCATTTCTCTTTTCTCCTTCCCATCCACCTTTTTCCTTTTTCTGCATTTTTTACCCCAAAACCCATCGAAAGCTCAAAAAAATGAAAAATATACAGTATACACCCCTTGTATCCAGGATCCGGATCCGCATCAAAATTAAATGTATCCTAAGCACTGTATATTATATGCATTAAGTGAAGAGTAAAGACAATATTAATTCCTAAGCACTGTATTGTATATGCATTAAGTGAAGAGTGAAGTCAATATCAATCAGTAAAAATGAGCAATATAAAATACTTGAAATTTAAAACATATTTTAAAAAAGGTATAAAAGATGAAATTGTGCTCTAAATTTTAATAAATTAATTAACAACCTTAAGTTTAGAGCACATGACTCATTCTTCCTTGGTCCTAAATAAATAACTAATGTTAATGTCCCCTCTAAATATTTATGTTTACATCTCTATATATATATAATTTCCTTGTATGTTTGTTTGTCTGTTTTTGTCCAATAAACGTCAAAACAGCTGCAGCGATCTTGATCAAAGGGGGGTGGGGCCACGAAACATATTACTATCCGGAAAATTGAAACAGTGTTTAAACACGACTTTGAATTGTCTTTTGAGGCTGATTTTTTGCATGCAAACTCAGAATTATGTATATTACATGCATTTTTTGGTATTGAAGGAATCTTAACAGAAGTGCGCGCGCTTTTTGTGAAAAATCTTGGTACATTTTTTACATGTATGTCGATTTATAGGTAACTTGGCACGAGGAATTCATTTCTGAGGTCAACATAAATATTCGAGGATTCTGACCTGCGCGCTAGTAGCCGGGAGTTACATTATGGGTCATCTTGCGACATATTTACATGTTGTATGTCGATTTATAGGTAATTTGGCATGAGTAATACATTTCTTAGGTCAAAATAAATATTCAAGCATTCTGACCGGCGCGCTTGTAGCCGGCAGTTACATTATAGGTCATGTTCCCACATATTTACATGTTGTATGTCGATTTTTAGTTAATTTTGCACGAGAAATTCATTTCCGAGGTAAAATTTAATATTGGAACATTGTGACCAACAGTTCCATTAGGGGTCTTCTTCCCACATATGTTACATGTTGTATCATCACAGCAGGGAAGGTTTATGAATCATAGGAAATAAAAAATTTTGTGTTTAAATTATTTTTTATTTTTGTAACATTTTGTAAATGTTCGAAAAAAATTATGAAATCAGCAACCTTTTTTTTGGTAACCTTCCGTCAATTCCTTTAATGTTTAGAAAAATTCGGAATATCGTTTCGATAAAATTTTTGCAATAAGTTTAATTATCGGGCTGGGTATTGTACTTTTTGGGAACAAAATAGCGGAATAATTTTGTAAAAAAATTGTTATCTAAATAATTTGAAGAATCTTTAAACTCCGGTTTGTGTATTTAAAAAAAAAATTTGGTCTTGCATCATATTTCCCATGCGTAATATTTTTACTCTACAAATAAAATACCTTTATTGACATAGGGCCTTAGCTTGATAAATTCCTCATCTGGTAGATCTACCAAAGCTTTCACCATACCTTCTACTGTCATCGTCTCATAAGGAAGGTTTAGGCTAAAACAAAAAATTTCTTATTCATTATCACTTCATAAATAATGTTTTCACATTTTCTGACAATATTAAAGAGTAAAGTACATAGTTGTTTGGAACGTCGATTAGTGTTTAATACAAATATTAAAAAAGCTTTAATTTTGATAATTATACAAGTATGTTTATTCATTCATCATGAAAATTGACTTTTTAAATAATTAATACAAGGGTACATATTTTGTTAACCTCTTTTCTAACAAAGAGTGCTTAGGATCCTGGATCTATACTGAAAAAAATGGATCCAGATTCCAGATCCTAATCATTATCAAGATCCAGGTCATGAACATTTCTTTAAGATTTATCCCTTATACCCTTGGCTCCAGGAATCCGAATATATTTGTAGATCCAATGGACCAGGATCTTAAGCACTGATCATATAAATATTAGGTATAAATATATAAGTAGGTATATTTTCCCTGTACATGGCAAAGCCAGGCCAAATTTGCCAAAATGTTTTTTTTGCTATGTTCACACAAAAGAGTCCCACAGTGAAAAAAGTTGTTAATTCCAAAAATTTAAAATTTAACTTATTTAATCAACCTTATAAAATTTTTTTTTAACGGATTTGTTGGTCCATACGACATGATCATGTTGTTACGATCAAATCTCGGAATTGTTTGATTGCGAAAGCTTGGTGTTGTCTGGGTTTATATTGATCTACCAGGGGTTGTAATCTGGCAGCACATTCATACTGGGATGAAGGTTTACAAGATTCCAGCTGCCTAAGGGCTTCTTAGGCCTGAGAATATAGAGTGCAGGAATTCTTCTGACATACTGGAATGATGCCCAGGTGCAATACTGATAGGAAACATCACACTCATTGCACCCTAACATCTGAAAGCCTGGATTGAATACCCCCAGGTACCTATAGCTGGCAACCATAGAATGTCCCTGCTTGACCACCATTTCTCTCTTCATCATCATTAACTTGAATCAATCCACTTAAAGCTTCTTTCTTGTTAGTAGAAAGCACGCACCCTTTCGCTGCGAGAGTTGTTGACAGCCGCTCTGTCCTCCTACATCCGTCAGGTGGTTATGACTGCTTACCCTGATGTCGGCTTCAGATGTTTTTGAAACTACAGGTTTGTGTGGAGTACGGGAATCGAACCCGTTAACACCAGTCTGGACACCAATTCAGTTATTGTCTGTGGACAGTTGTGCTTAACTTCAGTGATCTAAGGATAACTGGTGTCATACACTCTCCACCCCACCCCACAAAAATTTAAATTAATATCTATCGAAAGTCTTACCCTGGAACCAGTACACAATTGTAACTTGGAGATGCACACCAGTTTGTCTGAAACCCCATGTCCTGCTCCAGCATATTGTAGAAAGACCTAAATCGTACATTCCTAATTGTCTGTTCAAATTGGTTATTCTTGTTATCAGAAAATATCCTTTGGTTCCAAACCAAAAAAAAATACATCAAAATGTCTCAAATGGCTCATGAAAAATGTCTATAGAATAATGCACTTCTGGTGCAACTATCATGTATTGCTGATCTTTTTATTTAAGCCCTCTACCCTCTATACAAATTCAATATAGAATCGAATCTAAATTAAATCTAACCTCATTCGTCCAACTTGCTTCAATATTCTGAGGCTTTCAATCTTCTCGTCTTGCAGTGAGTTACTAATTAATTCTTTCATATTTTTTTATAGTAAAAATTAGAGCAACCATTTATAAAAAATGAAAATATGGAGGTGACTCTTGAAGATGATTTGACCAATAAAGTTAAAATAATTACATAATTTATAATATAAATTTATAGTAAAAAGAAAAAATTGGTTTTTGGATATTTTGTTTATACAAATTTATACATTTAATCAAGGATTACAATATTTACAGGATTACAGTAACAATATGATTCCAAGATATGATTTTTTACCACCATCATTTTTTTATGACAAATTTGAAAATAATTTCCTTAGTTCTCTTGATTTCAAGGCATAACCGAGAAGATACGGCTTGCACTGAAATAAACAAGTTGCAGTTTACAACATGTATCCAAAGCATATAATAACATTTGCATCTAATATTAATTTAGTGTACAAAAAAAACCAAAAAAATGATGAAAATTAATTAAAATACTATGTTCAAAGACAAACTTATGAAATGTTTACTACAAATAATTAAAAAGCATACAAGCACATGAGAAATGTAATTTTATTGTAACTTTAGAAGTTTTATTTATTTCCTCTTTAATAAATTTTAAAAATAGTTTATTTGCTTAACATTTTGATGAAAGGAACCGATTTTAAAACTAATATATTTGTTTTTTAATCGATAAATCTTTACAAACCAATGTCATAGACCTTTGATATTTATAGCTATATATTCTGCTTGATAAAGGGATTATAAATATTTATATAGTACCAAAAACTAAGTTAAAAAAAAAATTAACATAAAATCATATTCATAAGGTAGTGTGCTATTTAATTATTTGAACCAGCGACCCCCACCCTCCCCATTTTAAATATTTTAATATGAAGTAATTATCAAAATTATGATATAATTTTGCCTTGATTACATGGTAAACAAACTTTGATGACATAAATTTAAAGAAATGTAATTCAGGATAACCATTCCAATGTAGGGATAACATGATTGATATAAATGTCCAAAAACATAATGCAATCAGGAAGTTAATTCCGAAAATGATCAGATAATATAACCTTTCTCAGCTCGCGTATACCCAACATGAGATCATCAATCTTCCGTTCATTTTCTAACTGAGATTCCCCAACATTCATGAATAGCACCTACAAAATATAGTTTCAATTTGTTTCTTAAGCATGCTAATTAAGAATAAAGAAAATTAAAATTCCTTCTAGTTAGGCATCGTTTTTGTAAAAACATTTTGGGTAAAACTAAAAAGGAACTAAAAAAAAATGTTTAAAATGCTGTTGTTCAATTGAAAGTTAGATAAAATTTTGAATTAACAATGAATATTTTATAGAAATAGCAATCTAAAAATAAAATTATAATTTAACAAATTAAAGCAAGGAAACTAAAGTATCAATTTTGACTGGTCAAAATTAGCTCAAATTTTTTTTTGGTTAAATATTTTGATACATAGCACAGCTAGCGTTTCATCAAAAATATTTGATCTAACCCATGTGGAAAAAAATCATTTAGATTTTAAAATTTCTTACTCAGAGAAAAAATATTTTCAATGACACATTGAATGTGATAATTAAAGGAAACTTGTTCTTCTTGTACTTGTTACTCCTTCGGAAAAGTTCTTATTGGGATACCCAGAAATTATGGAGAAAAAATCAACAAACTTAAATTTGAGGATTTTTATTTACCAAATTCCCATGTAAAAATTATCTTTTGTTGAGTAAAAATGGGAATAAATAATATTTTTTATGACAAAAAATCTAGAAACTCCGTATTCAACATATCTTCATATTCGTTTGTACATATCATTAACATATTACATAACGATTTTAAATTTTTTTATGGTTCATTAATCATTGTTTGAAATTGTTGAGATAATTGTGTAAACAAAGGGTCTGTCCTAGTATACGATTTTTGGACCCCCCCCCCCCTATCAATTTTGTACATGACCNTGATTACTTGTTACGGAACTCTGGACTCCCCCCCTCGCGCTACCCATGAAGTAAATATTTATGAATATTTATAAAATAATGTTGAGGTTGAAATTGGCTTAGTGGGGGGTCCAAAAATCATATACTAGGAAATTACCAAAACAAAATTTAAGTAAAACTATCACTAAGTTTCAATTGAAGTATTGATCATTTCAATAAATGTTTCTATTTCTAACTGACCTGCAGATTTTATGCAAGAAAGACAATAACCGTACTTAACATAATTCAACAACTTTTCATGTAAAACACCAATGATATCTTAACACGTATTGTTTGTAGGTTGTAAGGCTGTTGTTGTGTAATGGTCAATGGCACTTTCTTCAATGAATGATCTATTAAAATAAATTTCTTACAGACCTACATTATTTATACTAGGCATGCAATAAAACCTATTTTTCTATATATATATATATATATATATATGTACGTAATTTTAGCAAACTGCTCGTTCAGGTCAGTTTGGGTTGTATAAATAAATAATAATCAGTAATAATATATAATAATATATAATAATAAATATCAGTTAACCAGTATCACTTCTACTAAACGGTTCATGAGAGAGTACTTAGTTACATTTGAAAGTACGTAGAGTACCCAGTGTGAGTTTAACACAAGAGAAGGATTGTAGAGTTCAAGAAAATTAAGTCAATTTGTTACAGGCATTGGTCATGATAACATAAATCATTTTTTTTTAACTAACCTTGTCCATCATGTATGTGTCCGTTCTCAATTTCTTCATTACTTCCTCTCGATCCTAGGATATTTTGTGGTTATTCTTGTAAGACTAAAGAAATAATATTAATAGCAAATTAAATCTTAATTTATAAAGGATGTTTAGCAAGGTATACATAAATTTACTCCAGGACGTACATACATCATTGAATTAGATAATAAAATAAAAATGAATCTGCAAGGTATAAATTAAGTTCTTGCAGACATACAAGGGGTGTATATTATTTCTGAGAGACATATTTTTACCCCCACCCGCCTTTTCTAACCATTTTTCTATCTGATAAATCTGATTTGTGTCTTACAAGTCCCAAAATGTCCGGGTTTGCTTTAGAGTACTATTGACTATAAGTTCAAAATTCACACATGACTAAAGTCAAACTACAGCTTTTTTTAGTTGATTTTGGTTTTCATGGGAAGGTAGAGAATCGATGTAAGGTTTGCAGATAAAGAAGATAAGGAAAGGGGAATATAGGAAAGGGAAGGCGCAGGTAGAGAATCAATGGAAGGTTGGCAGATAAAGAAGATAAGGAAAGGGGAATATACAAAAGGGAAGGGGCAGGTAGAGAATCAATGGAAGGTTGGCAGATAAAGAAGTTAAGGAAAGGGGAATATAGGAAAGGGAAGGGCTGGAGCTCTGTACCTCTACATATATAACAACATCAATTTGCATAAAATCAGAGAATTTTTCATGAATAATTTTCCCCGATAAGTTATAAAGTAGCAAAACAAATTTCTTACAAGAATGCTCATTAATCAATAATTCTTCCAAATACTTAAATATACTTAAAAACTTTACAAATTCTATCCCCCCCCCTAAAAAAAAATATTGGGAAATAAATTACAAGAAACAATAGACTCATGGACGGACAACTAATCAATCCAGAATTCTTGGGCCATTGACACGATATCATTACCCAAAGTTTAAACAAAAAATGCCTATTGCATAATTTATGTTTGTTAAAATGCATCTTTTGAGTAATTATTATGCACTGCCATGTAAATATTAAAAAATTGTTTTTTTATTAATCGAACTTTGGTAAGTAAAAAAAAAATCATGGTGTGGGAAAAGAATCAAATACTTGATTTTAAGACAAAGCATTCAAAAGATGATTTAAATTGTATGGACCGACAAATGACAAAAAGTTTGTTAAACCAATATGATTATTTTTTAGGTAATTTTTAAACCTTCTTGAACTTACCATATTTGTAGAGAAGGAAACCGGAAAGAAGACTTTAAGATTAGAACTCTTGGTAGATCTTAAACAAATCTTTCCCGTCCAGTTCGACAATATTGCAGACGTAATAACATCCCTTTAACAATAAAAAAATATAAATAAATAACCAATGAATCTGGATTCAATTACCATTGAATCCACCGGGGGTTTGAATTTTCATTGATTCTAATTTGTCTGTGAGTAAATGACATTCCTTTGTAAAAAATAACAAATCATTTTAATTATTTATTTTTATTTTCAAAAGGGGTGGGATTATATGAAAATTGTTATATTATAAATGAATGAACATTTAACTTACTCCGTTACTTAATTTTGATTAAAGAGCATTTGTTATGTTACATTTGATAATATTAATTTTTAACACTTAAATATGACTAATGGGCCGTTGGGAATAAATTATTATGTTTTAAAAAATGGAAAAAGATGTTAGGGTTTAAATTATAATATTTTCAATCCTTAGGGAAGAAAGGGATTCTTTATAATATATATCCCTGTCAATTCGAAAAAGGGTATGTATCCAAGGCAGAGTGGGGGTAGGGTGTTAATTTTTTAAAATATGTACCCTAGGTAATGGGTATGGGTAATTTCTTGTCATCATGACTTTTATATTCACCTGTTACCAGTCAACTCATCAAAACAAACAGGTTCATTCTGAAGTGCTGAACTTAAACTGGATAGAGTAAATCCTACGATAATTTGATAAATAGATTTAAAGGATTTAATGGCAAAATCTTAAAGGTACTGTAATTGTTATTTAAAAGTAACATTTTATTCTAGGAATTGTACTTCAAACTTAAGTTACCCTTCAAACAATCGTCAGATTATGAATGATGGAGAATGACAAATTTATTGAAATACAATTTTAAGTAATTTACAAATTATCATTGCTTTTGTGGATGAAATAAAACCAATAATCACGCCAAACGTTATCTTTTAATCTCAATTGAATTTTCAATTTCCAGAACAGAGATGATCTTTAAATTAATTATTTAAATTATGAAAATCTTATAAAGAGAGTGTCTGGCTAAACTTGTTATTTTAGCTGAGTATACATTATTGTCTAGGAAAAATTCAAAAACATTTTTGCGGATCCAACGAATCCGGAATCTAAGCACTGTATTTGACCATAAGTTGTTTTCCCGTGTAAGAGTCAACAAGGATTCTTTGCAAGCCTGTTTTCAGTAATTACCTAGATCAAGAGAAGAATCTTCGTACTCATCAGTCATAAATATCCTTTAAAAAATATGCTTAATTTAATTAAATAATGATGTCAAGCAAAAATTATACTACTGAAATCCAAAAATTTTCTTTGCAACTGCCCCCCCCCCCTGCACCCACCTGCCGCAGCCAGCAAACTTTGAAGTTTGCTCGGGCATCAGAAACCTTTCAAATACAACTCTTTTTAAGCAATGGGTTAAAGGTTAAAATATGATTCTGAAAAATGGGGGGGGGGGAATATGAGTCTCAAAACTAATATACACCCCTGGGTGTCTTTCCCACCAAACAGATCATTAATTTGACACAATTCCGTGAATAAAACACGTAGCACCTGAAGAAAAAAGAAATTTAAAGAGTGTAGGGGGGATCAAAAATATTTATTAGGTAAATATAACCACTTTAAATATAAAAATTAAACAAATCATTTTTAACACTCAAAAAAAAATTCAGTGTTATAAAAAATCTTACATTTATTTTCAGAATTATGTAAAAAGTTGTATCTTGACCCCAAATGGATAATAAAATAATTTTAGTTTACTTACTTCATGAGTTTTAACAGGACACCTTTACCAGTTCCAGTCTGTCTACTCTGCAGGCCTAAATATATTGAACTTATGAATTTTAATAATAATTTAAAAGATTTTAATAATTTTATTAGTTCAAAATTGATATAACATACAGTACTTGTTCAACAATAAAAGAAAACACCTTATCTTATATTGTTACTTATCAAAAATCAAATTTTTATATTATTTATTTTTTCAAAGGCAAAGTGCAAACAATAGTTTTACTAGAGTTTTCTTATAGAAATAGCTTAGGAACCCATTGTGGCCCATCGGAGTCATAGGAAGTCCAACCATTTACCCGACCATTGTCGTTTATTATGAGTTTAGCTATTTTTCACGATAAAAGTGCAACCACACAACTTAGAACCACAAAACAAAGCTAAGAACAGTCCTGTGTCTCTCCAAAATTTGAAACAAATCAGTAAAGGTGTTCCCTAGTTATTATTGGACAAACAAACAGACAAACAGATATTACAACTTTATATATATAGAAAATAAGTAACCGATAACAATTTACTTTGTGACTAGTTCAAAGCTGTGATGAAAAAGTCCACTTTAATAAGACATTTTATTTCTAGTTAGTGACTGCAGTTTTCTTTAACAAAATTTCCATTTTGGAAATTTGGAAAACTGTTGCATACACAGGAGTTCCAAGATAATTTCAGATATAATGAAAACCGGAATGATTACGGTTTACGTCACATAATTGGGGTTTACAGAGTGGAAACTATACAATTTCCAGTTTAAATTTTGTAAATCATAAAATTTTCCGTTTCACTTTCGTAAACTGGAAAAGTTCAGATTTTTTAATTTAAAGTGACTGTTAAGGGAAAATGAAAGGGGGTATAGGCTGAAAGCTAATCACTTTAGCTCTTGATCACGACCCATGACAGTTTTATCTGATGTTCCTGTCTCAAGAAATTGATATACAACTGTGTTAAAATTATACGAAAGTTCATATATGTAAAATTTAGAAAATCTTAAGCTAAATTCACGTGACCAGAACTATCACCAATGGCAGAGCAGTATACTGGTCAAGTGTCTTTGCCAGTATCACATGACCACTGTACGCACTGCCATTGCTGGAATTTCTGGTCAAGTAATATGGACCAGTAAATACTATTATGAATTAAATTTGTTAAAAATAGAAATAACAAATATAAAATTAGAATTGGAGTAAACCTAAGTAATAATTAACTTGATCTGGGATATCGTTTTCAGATTGGTTGCTTATTTATTGAATTTGATTGATTTAAACAAACTACTTTTATACAAAATTGTATAAATATTGATTTCGTATAAATAAGTTCCACACCCCCTTTTAGAAAGTCTTCTATTTTCCGAAAATTTTTCCACAGAGTGGCAAACAAATATTTATGGGTTCTTTGGAGAATTTGGGTAAATGAATGATTTTTCATAGAAAATAAAGGATTTGTTGGTAAAAAATATCAATATAATGAAATAACTTTCCTTTTCTTGTCGCACTTTCATACTTTCCCAACAATTAATCAAAAATCATTAACCCCTCCCCCTCACCAGCGCCAGGTAGGGGCCGGGTTGAATTTATAAAAATATAAACCCCTGACATTTAGCATAAGAAATACCTAGTGTAAAGAACTCTTTTACATCTGGGTGAGCCCGATTACCTAAAAAAAACCTCTTAATAAGTATGTTTTTTAATATTTGAAGAAGTGACTAATAAATTCTTTAAAAATATGTGCCAATTACACATTTTTTATATCAATTTTTATTCATTTCTCAATGTTTACGTTCAATACAAATCAATTTTATACCAATTTTGCATCAGGAAGAATATCAGATTTTTAACGTAGTATTTGGAAAATAGATATAAAAATATAAAGGCTACGAATATAAAAAACTAATACTGTGCGCTACGAGGGGGGGGGAGTCCAGAATTCCGCAACGAGTAATCACCGCCAACCAAATGTGTTTGCAGCAAGCGCGCTCCTCAATTGGTAATAAACCAAAATAAGCGTCACATTAGATCGGTTATTTCTTAAAAATAAGACGATATTGGCCTCTGTTAATAGCCCTATGGTGTACAATATTGTTAAAGCTTTCTTTATTGTTCCTTAGTTTCGAAAAAAAAAAAAAAATATGCCACATTAAGTGCTAGAAATATATTACGGTTCTTAGTTTCAAGTTTCGCTTTAAAAATGTTTGGGGCATTTTCCTCTTAATGTTGTTTTAAACTCTTTATATAGAGAAGAAACTTTGACCCATAATTAATGGACTAAATACTTCATTTTCAGTAGGGGGTGGGATGAGACTAATTTTTCAAAATTTTATGCATATCATTAGTTTTGTTGTGGATGTTGAATTCGAGTAGGCAAATACAAAAATCTAAACACTGTAAAGGTTTTATGAAAATATTTTTTGAACGAAGATGGATATTACTTAACGTTGGATGAGATAATTTTTAGTAAATTTTAAGTACTTTCTGTGCATATAATTAGTTTTGTTGTAGATGTTGAAGTCCAGTAGGCGAATACAAAAATCTAAACATTGTAAAGGTTTTTTGAAAATATCTTTTAAATGGATATGGATATTACTTTGCGTGGGTTGAGATAATTTTTAGTTAACAGGCAGGCAGACCTTTTAATCATGATATGCAGTCATTAAAGTGGCGAATTGGATCTAAGATTCGGCAAAAATGAACTGTGCCTTGATTCTCAGTTTTTGTTGACCAAACAAATCTGAAAATAATTTGAAAATTTAGTTTAAGTCAATACAGCCAAAAAACCCCGATAGATGTCGAAAATTGTGTTAAAAGTGCATTAATTTCAAATCTCAGAAAACAAAATTTTATGGTTATTACTAATTAAGGTGGTGGAGATTACCAATTGAGGAGCGCGCTTGCCGCAAAACACATTTGGGTGGCGTTGATTACTTGTTACGGAACTCTGGACTCCCCCCCTCGCGCTACCCATGAAGTAAATATTTATGAATATTTATAAAATAATGTTGAGGTTGAAATTGGCTTAGTGTAGTGAACATAGTTTATGAATGATTTGGTGAAGATAAAATTTTGTTACAACTGCAGTGAACGTTTGAATCAAAAGCAAAGGAAATTACTTCTTTTATAAATTATTTTTTTTTTCATTGTACATTACAACATACGTTCACAACATATGTAAAAAAAAGTAAGTAAACATCATTAAAATAAAAAGAATGAAACTAACATTTAGGTTAAAATATTTTGAAAATACTTACAACCGTCGATCATGTAATAGAAAAAGTTCTGAAAAACTCCACCAGGGAAAATGTCTACTCCTAAAATTTACATTTTTTAAATGGGATTGTGGAGATGTCCTATTTACTATTTATTAAACAACACCCAGTTTTTTCTTTCTTTGATGCTACTGTATTCCCTGGGTTCATAGCTTTTGATTTATATAGATATAGTCATTTTCAAACATTTTCATTTCGGAGGTTAGGTTAGAATATTACAGGTCATTAGAAGGTTAAACACTGGATTTGTTGCTGTTACTGTATTCCTTGGGTTCCTAGCTTTTATTTGATATACATAAAGCCATAGTTTAAAAAAAATTATTTTTGGAGGTCATTTAGGTCATTAGAGGTCGTAAGAGGTGATTAGATGGTCAAACACTGGATTTGTTGCTGCTACAGTATTCCCTGGGTTCCTAGCTTTCGTTTAATATGCATAAAGCCATAGTAGAAATATTTTCTATTTGTGGAGGTCATTAAAGGTCATTAAAGGTCATTAAAATTCAATTTGATTTTATTTTAGGAATTTCAAACAACCGTGCACCCAAAGAATTGGAAGATTTGAACTAAAAATGAATGCAGGCCCTACCACCCCCCTACATCAAATAGGACATCTACAACATTTCTTTAAAAATGATAAGATGTCCCAAAACTAAATAAAACCAACATGAACAACATTTTAACACATGAATTGTTCAATAATTATTAGAAATAGGACAAACCAAAATGCTTTTATAAGTTTAAGTTAAAATCCTTTTTTTATAAAAAAAAATATATATATTACCAATTTTCATGACTTTATCCAGGCATTCAAAGGCCTCAGAAGCACTCTCACAATATTTTACTCCCTGAAATATTTATCTACCAAAGTAAAAGCTTACAAGTTAAGATAGTTATTTGTAAGCTACATTTTTATTTGAATTAAAAAAAATCCAACATTTATAATGTTACAACCATGATTTCTGAGCCCAGGATGTTTTTATTTTAATGAGTTTGATTTCACGATTGAGACTTGTTTAATGTTTAAGCGTATTCGACAACAAAATAAGTTCCTTGACAACACAAAGTTAACTTACATGTTTAAGAAAAGTATTGATTTTTGCTGGTCAATACAGGGATGTATACCAAATTTTTCAACACCCATTGGGGAGGGGGACAGAGATCAAATACCCAACAAATACCCAAGAGAAGGGAAAGAGGATAAGAAGAAAAAGAATAAAGGAAAGGGGAAAAAAGAGGAAGGAAAAGGGGAAAAAAGAGGAAGGAAAAGGGGAAAAAAGAGGAAGGAAAAGGGGAAACACAGGAAGGAAAAGGGGAAAAAGGGAAGAGGAACCTTGAAGGAAAAGTAAGAAAAAAGTAAAAGGTGAAGGGTGACAGCAGAGAAAGAGAAGGGTACGGAAGGGGGAAAGGTAGAAAGGGAAGGAAGGGAATTGGATATTTAGGAAGGGGGACAGGTAGGGATTGGGAAGGGTGGAAATTGGATAAGTAGGAAAGGAGATAGGTAGGGAAAGAGATAGGAAGGGAAAGAGATAGGTAGGGAAAGAGATAGGTAGGGAAAGAGATAGGTAGGGAAAGAGATAGGTAGGGAAAGAGATAGGTAGGGAAAGAGACAGGTAGGGAAAGAAAAAGGTAGGAAAGAGAAAAAGTAGGGAAGGGGAAGGACTGAAATACAGGGGAAGAGGAAGAGGGGAAGGTTGAGATGAAATAAGGAAGGATGAGAGGGAAAAAGGAATATAGGGACCTGCAGAAGGGACAGTGAAGGGAAGTACAAGGGCCGGAAGGTAAGTGGATGGTAGGGTAGATAAGGAAGGGGAACGAAGAGAAGGGGCAGGTAGAGAATCTATGTAAGGTTCGCAAATAAAAAAGTGAAGGAAGGGGAAATATAGGGAAGTGAAGAACTGGTGCTCTTGNCCCCCCCCCCCCCCAAGAAAATGATGGAAAATCAATTCCAAGAAAAAATCTACTCCGGGACTGACAAATAATTCATCATAATTTTTTTGCAATTGCCACCATATTATTACCCAAAGTTAAAAAAAAAATTGCCTGTGCCACCTTTATATAATTTTTTTTAACCATAATTTTATAGAATAATTATGCACTGCAATATAAATTTTTGAAAACTATGTCTTTTTAGTTAATGAATTTTGAGAATGAGCCAATATATACATAAAATGTGACCGCTGGTTGTCCTATTGGCTATTTAAATTTTTTTGTTTTTATATGATAATAACTTAAGTTCACATCTTTAAATAACACACATTCATATTTGGGAAATCCAAAGCAAATTTTTTTTTGGACCCTTTTGACCCTACGACTACTGACCTCTGCCACCTTTGGATTTTTAAACACCAGGTAAACCTTAGTCTCCAGTAAATTCTGTACTTCATCACTAAAATATGCAAATTCAATATACTTTAAGAAGACAGTTATGACGAGCATAGAAATGCAGTCATTGATAAAGATTAATTAAAGATGAAATGAACCTCCACTTCATGATGCAAGATCTTGACCTAGAAACTATCAACGTATTAACATATGAAGGAATTAAAAATTATAGATTAGTGTACTAGGAGGCAAGCGTTGCTTTTATTTAAAAATCATTAGACAAATGTGAAAATGACCGTACCAGTCGTACTACTTCATTTAAAAAAGTAAAACATGATCTAAAAATATACCAAAAACAGCTAACAGAATGTTAAAACATATTTGTACACAGGTTGAAAAATTAATAAACCAGTCCCAATGCATTTACACACCTTCCCCTGATGAAGGAATTTCATAAATATTGTGATAAAGACTTAGTAAGAAAAACTAATGTAATTTTACGAATATAATCTCATAAAAGAAATATATCTTAAAGAAAAATTGTGAATTTGGAACAAATTTAATGAATCTTAAAAATAATTAATTAATATTTGAACTACTATTTAAATCTTCATTTTATCACTATTTCAAATTTTATCCTTTATAATGAACCACGTAAATTACAAAATTTAAATGTTAAGTGTATAGAGACTCTTCAAATATACAGGTTGTCCCAGGAAACAGAAGAGTAGCAACAAAATTTGAAAGTTGTGTTTGATCTTAGAATTTTCAAAGATTTAGCAGTCAACATACTTTATGTATGATTCTTTTAACAAAAAATTAAAAATTCTCATAGTTGTAGAATTTCCAACATGTGGTATTTTTTTTGCTGTCAATATGACCAAAAAAATTTGAATTTAATTTCAAATTTTAATTTTTTTAAATAAAACGTAAATTGTCAAAATCAGAACACAATTAAACAATAACATATTTCAGGTAATATCTAGAGCACATTAAAGGCTGAACACATTTTGAAAATGCCAAAAATAGTGGTATTTTATGACTATAAACTCTATAACTTCACTTATAAAATTTGCATTTACAATTAAATGGTGAAATTTTTTTCAAAGATGAAACAGAAACTTCAATTTGTATTGCTACGGTCATTTTCTTGGTACACCATGTAGATTAATGAATAATCATAAGTACTTACCTAGTCAATTTTCTTATTCCCAGTGGCTCAAGAAGATAACAACCGTTTTCTGATAGAAAAACAGAATGCTCTCCAACTTAATCAAATCAAATGAAACAAAATGAATGCATGTGATAAAATTGAAAGAACTATTTAATCCAAATATTGTAATGAAATTTGCATTTGTTAAATTAAGTAATTATCAAAATAAAAGTACGCGTGTCCATGTTACCCAAAAGTTAAATGAACAACCAAAATAGAGGCAAACCGTCTGCGCAACGGATGAATAGATTAACAATAGAAAATGTTGACCACAATAACCTGTGCTATAAATATTCAACAAAGGACATAACTTTAATTTAGTAAAGTCTGATCCCAGGTAAAATTCCATCCTATTGGCATTTGGATAAAGGCAATAAAATTGATCTGAGTCCTTTGTAGTAACAGGCATGATGAACCTCAATAACAGTGCTGTGGTCAATGATCCCCTGAAATATTTTAAAGTTTATAGGGGTGATATAATTCATTTTTGGATTCTGTATTCCATATAACTTTTTGTATTTCCTACCCTTAACTTTACGAACATTATTTTGTTGTATTTTAACACTTCCTTGCTTAAAATTTTAAAAAAATATACGTTTTGAAAATCATAGCATGTCAAATATTTATTTTACATGCTGCAACTTAAAGTTCAAAGCAGTGCCAGAAAATTTTGGAATAAATCTGAACCAGGATCTTCCCATGCCTTGCGTTCTCATCTTTTCCTTTAACATCCCTTACATCCCATCCCATCCCTTCCTTTCATCCATTTCCCAGGGTACTGTGTGTTGCATTTTTTTTAAGGGTGGGGGGGGGGACAAAATTTAAATACAAGCCTGTAAAATAGAGAAACATGTCTAAAAATGTCTCAGACATCAATGTAATAAAAAAGGCTACTTACAGTTGAGAAACTAGCCGTAATATTGTTCGCTAATTCCTTTAATCATAATATCATCATTTAAATGTATAAAAAAATTGTATACTAAAACCAAACATTGCTTAATATCAAATACAAATTGTTTCACTTAGTACCATTATAGAATTAACTTGTTGGTCCAACCGTTTGGCCAATAATAGCGAACATACAAGGTTTTAGGTTACCCACAAAAGCCGAAACTATTAGAAGACAATCTATATAGGCAAATAATAGCGTGTAATTATGGTCTCATAAATGCTTTTGAAATGATTTATAAAGAAACAGTTTAAAGATGCAAGAAATCAATCAATATAAATATAAATTCCGTAAAGTCCTCTCTAATGTCTGATCCTTTGTGTGTAATCCTGTATATATATCAATACATATAAGAGAAAATTTGTTTATTTTAAAGCATGATGTAAATATAATTCCTGTAGATTGGAGTTAAGTATACTTCCAATAGTTTTTCTCCCTGCAAGACAGTAGTATGTGTTTACAATAATTACTTTGTAAGTTAGACATAAAATATGGAACAACAAAATATATTTTAATATGGTAAATTGTTAAAATTAGGCAATCATTGCTTTGATGTGTAAAGAACAACATTCAGCATCATAAAAAAGTTATTGTGACATTATTGTAGCTGACGTTTCAATTAACAAAACCTTTATTGATGCAGAAATAATTGATTTAGCTTGGTTTTTATTACAAATTAATAATTTTCAAATATCGGATTTGTACTGCAGGGAAAAGGAAGGAAATATTTACTGTTGAGAATGTGGCACAATCAACATTTTCTACAGATTACAGTTTTAAGGAAACCTTTATGAATAAGACATGCAACTCTATGAATGTGGTGTCTCTTAAAACAAAACATTTCATCTCTTTTAATATCAATAAATACAAACTTCTTTGAACCTTAATAAAAAATGAAATGTATAATATATTTTTAGAATATGAATGAACGTCCATTTGCGAATCATTTCAACATTTAAAACAAGTAGAAAACTAAAGACTACTTTTCCTGAAGTTTCACTCGATATCACAAATTCTTTGGGAGTACGGTTATTTATGAAGGTTAAAGCCTAATAATATAAATGAAATAAGTTTTTAGATGTGAAATATGTTGTGTATGGTAAGCCTTAAAACTTTGACCATTATGCCATTTGGAAATATTTAACTCATTTAACTCTAAAAAATTTGAAGTCACCCATGCCTACCCTTTTTTAACCAAAATAATAATGCTATTTAGTTTGAACTAATGCCCTTTGAAATATTGATTTTTGAACTATTGGTTGTTTGAACTATTTCATGTTGTACCATATGCAGTAGTTCAAACGAACAATAGTTCAATCTATAACATTCTATGCTTATTTGAATTATTTTCATGGTTTTTTAAAACTATTGTTCATTTAAAGTATTAAAAAAAATAGTTCAAATAAAAAAAAATCATTAAAATGAACCAAAAAATGTGAAATGAACTAAAATATGAACAATATTTTAAGCGATAATTTAAACTTTTTTCTGCTCATTTAAAATTTGTTTGCTCATTTTACCTTTTTTTGGTTCATTTACTATTTTTTGGGTTCATTTAAACAATTTTTTAAAACCTTTTTTTTATGTCCATGTGAAATATTTTTTTGATCATTAAAAGAAATTTTGTTATGATTGTTTGGAAATATTTTTTCATGAAATATCAAAAATATAAACTGGTTATTTAATAATTCAAATGAGGAAATAATGTCTTGAATGAACTACATGAAATGACGACACTATCAGTAGTTGGAACTTAGAACGAACAATAGTTCAAACGATCAATAGTAAAAATGATAAATAGTTGAAACGGAAGTAGTTCAAATGCGGATCTACCATTATAAATAAAGATATTTCTTGTTAATGTGAAATGTACTGGCGGCTACTTACATCGTTAGTGGGCCGGGATATCAGGTAGTATGGTAGCAAGATCTTCGTTAACCCTCGGTTATTAGGGTGAGACACAAATATCTTGTTATCAAACTAAAATGCAAGTATAATTTCAACCACTTTGGCCCCTGAAAAGTATTTTTGTTAGTTAACTTTAGCAGTTTTGCACAAAGAGCACCTTTTTTTGAGTAGGTTTTTATTGCTGAATTATTGTTAGAAATAATTATTTTATCGGGAAGAAACACTTCAATAACTTTAAAAGAGATATTTCGTTTACCTTTCCATTATTAATATTTATTCCCGAAACTTAATAAATAACTGTTATTCTTAAATTTTGTAGCACATGTAATTTAAAAAAAAGAAAATACTAAGGCAGATAATAAAAACCCTTTCAGTGATACACTCATATTCTTTTAATTAAAAATTAAGTAACCATGAACATACAATTATAAGAAAAGTTAAATTTTTTTTTTAAATAACCATATCTATTTTAAGAAGAAATAAAAATCTATGAAGCTTAACAGAACTTTTGAACATCCAAAAAAGTTACTTTCTCATAATAAATACGTAGAGAGATCAAGACATCACACAATGAATTAAATTCAGACTCCATTTAAATGTACAGAAACTCTATCATTAAAGCCAGTGTTTCGGATCCATATCATTTTGATTAGGATCCGGATCCGGATCCGTGGATCCGCGATGATGGATCCGGATCCGGATACGGATCCGGATCCGAGGTAACTTTTGATTCGGTGAATCGGATTTCCCATATTAAATGTTTTGCAAGGTTATAATTTATAAACTATAGTAATCCTAAAGTTAAAAATGTGGTCATTACTATTATATAAATGTTAACATTAAATTATTAAAGATAACTTTGAAAAATTTTCGTCATGTAAATAATACATTTACGAACCATTTTGATTTATTTATTCCATGGTTTTGGTTAATTTTTGGCGCTACCCGGATCCATATCAACGTTTTCTGATACGGATCCGGATCCGACCAAATGATACGGATCCGACCGGATCGGGATCCGAAACACTGATTAAAGCAACCTCATGAAACAATTCAAATTACTGGGAAAGCTTTACTTACCCATATATCAAACTGCAAATATCGAACTTCCTTTATAATGAGAAATGTTCCGTTCCCTATGTTATTGTTTATTAAAGTAATGAATAAATAAAATTACAAATACATATATCTAGATTGGTTTCAATATTTGTTATGGTTTTTGGACTTGCGTTACAATAATTAGAGATTGTTCCACAATTTGAAATGAAGCGAGTTTAAATTAATTTTGCAAATCATTTATGATTTTGTGTGTTGCTGCTTTAAAAGAATACTGTAATATTTGGTCTGCTATTCATAAACTCAGCCTAAGCTGAAGGGTCCAGAAAGCACAAGCAACAAAAATCTTACCTATAATTAAATTCTGAAAAATTAGAGTAATAATCTGCGAAATTGAACAAAATAATAACCTTTACCTATAGTAAATTAAAGTAAAGGGTTTCATGGAACATAAAAAATTTTGGGAAATTGATAAAAATAATTTTCTTTTACCGAAATTATGGTATAAGATTGTCTAAAGAAAAAATTTTGGTTAATTTTTTTTACTTAATACTTTAAATTTCCTATATTGTAATTGCGGTTGACAACCTCGTTCTCTTCGTCCATCTTAATCGCTTCAGGAAGTATAAATTAAAGTAAAGAACTGAAATGGATATATTATTTATGAACTCAGCCAGTTATTTGAAATCATGTATATCAATGTAATTTCCTGGTCAATTGATATCATAATTAAACAAAAAGTTATTGCCAATGAAAGCATAAGATGTTTGGTCGAAAATTGCCTCCGTACTTGAACTTTAGTAATTAATAACTCAGCAAGCAGATGTCACAGGAGCCTACAATTTTGTATTATCATAACATGCAAGCTGTGTGCAAAATTTAAAGAAAATTTTTGACTTCCATAGGGTGGCTAACTGGATAAATATATACTGTATATATATATTATTTTAATAAACATTACCCAGTAGGGATGAGTATTAATTTCAAGGTTAGTTTTGGTACAGACACACAAGTTTGAAAACAAGTTGCACAATTAATCAGAGTTTAATAATTAATAACAGAAATTATTTGATTTCTTTAAATATTGTTTAACAATATTGAATTTCAAACTTTTTTATAACAAAACTTCTAATATGTTCACTTTTAATTTAGTTATCCACATGCATATCACTTGTTATAGAAATAAAAATGTATTCAATCAACAAATTTAAATCATATTTTAACTGGAAAAGAGTGGGCCAAATGTGTTTTGAACTATCCAAAAAGTCACAAAATAATCAAGGAATCAATATTTTACACATTTCTGATGCAAGGAAGGAAGCTGATTTTTTTGGTGTTTAAAATTTAGACCATTTTCGATGATATTTTTCTTTCCATACATTCTTAAGTTTATAATAAGTGATATGCATGTTGATAACTAAATTATGGGTTGTCAAATTACAAGTGTTGTGAGATAATAAAAAAAATGTTATTTCAATCAATTGGCGCAATCAAAAATGGAATAAAACAAGATAGAGAATTGAGGAAACAAGAAAGAGAAAATAAGATGGAGGAAACAAGATTTAGAAACAAAGATGGAGGAAAATTGAAGGAGGAAACAAGATAAAGAAAACAAATGGGAGGAAACAAGATAAAGGAACAAGATGGAGGAAACTAGATTGAAGAAACAAGATAAAGAAACAAAATGGAGGAAACAAGATTGAGAAAACTAAATGAAGGAAACAAGATAAAGAAAACAAGTCGAGGGAACCAGATGAAGGACACAAGATATAGAAGACAAGATGGAGTAAACTAAATTGATGAAACTATACAGAGAAAAGAATATATAGAAAATAAGATTGAGGAAACTAGATGGAGGAAACAACAAATAGAAAACAAGAAAGAGGAAACTAGATGGAGGAAACAACAAATAGAAAACAAGAAAGAGGAAACTAGATGGAGGAAACAACAAATAAAAAAAAAGAGGAAACTAGATGGAGGAAACAACAAATAGAAAACAAGAATGAGGAAACTAGATGGAGGAAACAACAAAATAAAAAAAAGGAAACTAGATGGAGGAAATAACAAATAGAAAACAAGAAAGAGGAAACTAGATAGAGGAAACTAGATGGAGAAAACAAGATCGAGAAAACAAGAAAGAAGAAACAAGAGAGAGAAAATAAGATGGAGGAAAAAAGAAAGAGGAAACTAGAATGAGGAAACTAGATGGAGGAAAATAAAATAAAGAAAATAAGATGGAGGAAAAAAGAAAGAGGAAACAAGATGGATAAAATAAGATGGAGGAAACAAGAAACAGGAAACTAGAATGAAGAAACTAGATGGAGGAAACTAGATGGAGGAATCGATATATATAAAAAACAAGAAAGAGGAAACTAGATTGAGGAAACTAAATAGAGAAAATAAGATGGAGCAAACAAGAAAGAGGAAATAATAAAGAGGAAACTAGATGGAAGAAACAAGATGGAGAAAATAAGATGTAGGAAAAAAGAAAGAGGAAACAAGATGGAGAAAATAAGATGGAGGAAACAAGAAAGAGGAAACTAGAATGAGGAAACTAGATGGAGGAAACAAAATAGAGAAAATAAGATGGAGGAAAAAAGAAAGAGGAAATAAGATGGAGGAAACAAGAAAGAGGAAACTAGATGGAGGAAACTAGATGGAGGAAACAAGATATAGAAATACAAGAATGAGGAAACTAGATGGAGGAAACAAGATAAAGAAAAAAAGATGGAGGAAACAAGAAAGAGGAAACTAGAATGAGGAAACTAGATGGAGGAAACTAGATGGAGGAAACTAGATGGAGGAAACTAGATGGAGGAAACAAGAAGGATGAAACAAGAAGGAGGAAACAAGATGGAGGAAACAAGAAAAATGAAAGAAGAAGGAGAAAACAAGATGGAGGAAACAAGATACAGGAAACAAGATGGAGGAAACAAGAAGGAGGAAACAAGAAGGAGGAAACAAGATGGAGGAAACAAGATGGAGGAAACAAGATGGAGGAAACAAGATACAGGAAACAAGATATAGGAAACAAGAAATAGGAAACAGGATGTAGGAAACAAGATGGAGGAGATTTAGGAAACAAAACGGAGGAAACAAAGTCAAAAAGTTTAATTTAATATTAAAATTTTTTTTTTTGTTTAAAACAAATATCAAAATTTGACACATGTTTCTACACCATTTTTTAAGGGCTTTTCAAAAATATAGTTTTTAGATCTGTAGCTTTAGTCAAAAAAAGTTATGGGCTATTTTAGAGTTTTTTTTCACAGACCAGACTTTTTACCGCCCTGTACCCTACCCAATGCGTAAAAAAAATTCCAAAAAAATCTTTTTAATTACTATTTATGAAAAGTCAAAAAATTTCACGGTGATAGTGTCAAAAATGAGAGTGCCATGGCAAAAAAAAGCTAGAGGGGGGGGGCGCTAAACGACCCCCCCCCCCCGCCTGTTTAGGATTAAGTAAGTTTGTTACTGAAGTTCTTTAAGGGTAACACTTAAAGAAATTGTAAGAAATATAGTTTAACTGTTTAGGCCTATGTTGGAAGGTGAAGGTGGACCCAATTTCATTCTTAAGACTAAATAGAAAAAAACAAAAATAAGAAAAGACACAATTCTACTGTTAATTATTTGGGGTAATCGAAATATGAAATCGCAAGTTTAAAGATTCTAGATTCCAGGCTTCTTTACACCTTTTGCTGAGATGATTTTATATGCAAAATTAACTAATTGTGAATTTTGTTAAAATCATTAAAAGGGAAAAAACGACCTCAAGATTTTCATTTTTTCCCTTAAATTCTTAAAAACATCAATTGGGTAGTTTGCATAGTTTCAATTCACTTAATAAATTGACCTTCATGTTATAACACTGGGATCTATGAAACTCTGGATTAGGAAGACGACTAAAAGACTATTATTACAAGAGAAAACTCTGGATTAGGAAGAGGACTATAAGACTATTATTACAAGAGAACACTCTGGATTAGGAAGAGGACTATAAGACTATTA